CCCAACTCAGGACCATGCTGACTCCTATACCATCAACATGCCCACCTCATCGCCCACCCTCAGGCCCAAGACACCAGGATAATCCACTCAATTTGGGTCCAAACCTCATACCTCGGAGAAAACTGCTAGAAGATATTCCACTTCTTAAATAACTAGAAGACGTAAGATTCTCTTCAAGAAAGAAAGTGGCTAAGAACCATGTATTGAGCATCTGATGTGCATTAGACATAGGGCACAAATAGCTCCAAGGATGGGGCAAGGGCCCCGCACTCAGGGAGCTAACGGGACAGGCAAAGGTAGCAGGAGATCAAACTCCACACAAGAGAGGAACGAAGGCTAGGTTCAGAGTTCGACAGACCCCCAAATTCAAGTTCGAGTCCTGACTCTATGGGCCCCTCAAGTGTTCTTGGTGGTTTTCCTTTTAACATTGGAATCACATCTACCTCTTCTATCTCTCCAGGTCACTGGAGGCCACTAACGAAGCTTCACACAGAGAGCGCCTTTCGGGCTGCAGAGCGCTAGACAGATGTGAGTTGCCAGCCACCCAAGGACCCAGGGGACCAGATGGCTGGAACGAGGCTGTGGAGGCGAAAGGAAGACAGGAGGACACTCCAGGTGGGAGGAAGGGTGCAAAGGCTCAGAGACAGAACATGTTCAGGGACTTCCCTGGCAGTCCCGAGGTTAGGACTCTGTGCTTCCACTGCTGGGGGCCCAGGTTCGATCCTGGTCGGGGAACCAAGATCCTGCAAGCTGTGCTGCGTGGCCAGAAAAAAAAAAAAGAACACATTCCGATGCCACATCCTGCCCTGTAGATGGAGTAACCAGGGAAGTCAGAGGGGAAAACTCGAGGAGTAGAACATAGTAAATACTTAATCACAGCCAGAATTATAAGCAGCTTTCCACCTGGAAAGACACACCCATCTGAAGTAACTGAGCACTCAGAACTTGACCTCTGCCACGACTCAGGCGTGAAATCAATCAGAGCAAACACCTCGCTGCAAGGGGCCCAGGACCCACCCAAACCTTGGGGATGAGGGTCAGGAATGCCACATAATCAGTGTGAGGGTCCTAAGAACTCAATCATTATATTTCCCGAAGCCTGAAACAGCAGGCGTTAGTCTGTGGCAAATATTCCATTACTTTGAAAAGAATAATTCCATTTAAAAGACCATGGACATTGTATATACCCACCACCCGATTTCCTGTTTGTATCTGGGATTGACATCTCCAGGGTCACACCCTCTGCTGCTTTTCTTCACTGCTCATCCCATCGTCATTGTCTACATTTCAACTACCTTTCCCACCCCACAACTGAAACACCTTCTGCTTCCTCCTAGTCAAATCCCATGGCTGGGGTGGAGCCAGGTTTTGTGCGACTTAGTTTATCCAATGGGGGCAGGGGGGCATCTTAAAAAATGAAATACAGGGACTTCCCTGGTGGTGCAGTGGTTAAGAATCCGCCTGCCAATGCAGGGAACACAGGTTTGAGCCCTGGTCCGGGAAAATCCCACATACCGCAGAGCAACTAAGCCCGTGCGCCACGACTACTGAGCCTGCACTCTAGAGCCCGTGAGGCACAACTACTGAAGCCCACGTGGCACAACTACTGAGCCTGCGCTCTAGAGCCCTCGAGCCACAACTACCAAGCCCCTGTGCCACAACTACTGAGCCTGAGCTCTAGAGCCCGTGAGCCACAGCTACTGGAGCCTGCGTGTCACAACAACTGAAGCCCGCGCGCCTAGAGCCCGTGCTCCACAACAATAGAAGCCACCGCATTGAGAAGCCCACGCACCGCGACAAAGAGTAGCCCCCGCTCACCGCAACTAGAGAAAGCCCGCGTGCAGCAACGAAGACCCAACGCAGCCAAAAATAAATAAATACATAAAATAAATTTATTAAAAAAAATAAAATACAAACTTCCAAATACAAAGTTCAGCACAGGGGCTCAAAGGGCTCCTGCCAGTGAGAGGCCTGCTTGTGTCACTGCCTCCAGGTCCATCTACTTCGGCCAGTGGCCTCTGCTCTCCCGGCGGAGCCTGACCATGCTGGACATCACCTCTCCCAGCTCCACTTCCTCCAGGCACTGAGAGCATTCTTCCTCTGAATGTACCCCTCCTGGCACCATCCCAGACTGCCAGGCGCTTTTGTTTTCTCCGGCCCAGACTGAGGACTGCTGGAGGGCAGGGTCAGGATGGCCGTTTCCTCACATCTTCCACACCTGATGTGTTGAGTACAATGTGACAGGCGGCAGCAAGCTGGACAACCACTGAGATCCAACTGCCGCTCCCCTTCCCCAGACGGGGATGGGACTAAGCGCTTCTGACATGTGCTTACACTCTGAGGTTAGTGCTACTCATTGAGTAACGATTTACAGAGCACTTAAGTGCCAGGTGCTGGAGATTCAGTGAAAGGCTAGACTGTCACCTGCCATGCCCCGTGGGGCTCAGAATCCAGGGAAGCATACTTACAAGAGGGATGCTGGAGCTGGGCAGCACAAGGGCCCGTGGAGCATGGAATTGGGACACCTGATCTTGCCTTGGGGACCAGAAGAGGTGACTCTGAACCAACACCTAAAGGGGAATAGTCTCCATTTGAGGATCCAGCTCTTCCCCAGTTTTATTTCTTTATTTTTTAAATTAATTATTATTTATTTATTTATTTGGTTGCACCGGGTCTTAGTTGTGGCAGGCGGGCTCCTTAGTTGTGGCATGGGAACTCTCAGTGGCGGCACGCATGTGGGATCTAGTTCCCTGACCAGGGATTGAACCCGGGCCCCCTGCATTGGGAGCACAGTCTTAACCAACCGTGCTACCAGGGAAGTCCCTCCCCCCAGTTTTAGGCTCTCTGCAAAAGCCAATTTCTCTTCTGGGCTGAGGGCTCCCATATAGAACATTCCCTGAGTCCTTGATTCTTCAGTTTACACCTGGACAGCGCCTCTGGGACATCTGCCCCAAAAAGCAAGGGAAGAGACAAAGCAGTGACGTCTCCAACCCTCTCCACAGTGGTCTCCTCCCTCTTGGGTTCACAAGGAGGGGACATGAAACAGCTGGGTGGCAGCATTACCGCACTGGCCTGGGCAAGTCCCTGAGCCTGTGCCCTAGTGTGCCCTCTTCTTGTAACCAGCTTGATCTAGGCGGTAAAGGCCACCACAGGCAGAAACCACAATGCAGAGATCCTCATCCAAGCAGCCTCCCTCAGACCAAGCTTCAGCCAGGAACTTGAAAGTTCTTTAATCCCACACTTCCCAGAGAGGAAGCGCAAAGCATCAAGCGTCTGCATGCACCCTGCAGTATTTCCTGCCCGGCATCTCCCTCCCCTGACGTCATTCCTCTCCACACCCCCGGGTTACCTGCCTCATGTCCAGAGTATTGTTTCCACGTGGCAGCTCTCCCTAACCATCCAGTCCCAAAGTCTGCCTCTCCCCTGGACACTGGACACTGCTGACCACATCTTCCAGAAACTCTCTCCTTTTTCTACTTCTCTGCATCCTGATTCTCTTCCTACCACCTACATTTTCCTTTCCCAGTCTGTGGCTGGCTCCTCTTCCCTTTTTTTTTTCCGGCTGTGCTACACAGCATGGAGGTGTGCAGGGGGTGCAGAGTCTTAACCACTGGACCGCCAGGGAAGCCTGGCTCCTCTCCCTTTAAATGACATCACTACCTGGAACTCCCAAATGTACCTGCTTATTTCTCCCACGCCTCTTCCCCCATTCTCCATTCTGCAAGGATAACCCAATCAATCCATCATTCAGCTACCCAGCTCAGCAACTCGGGAATCATCCCCACTCTTCCTGTTAACGCATCTTCATCAGGGCAGTGGCCCCACTCTCTAATTCAACCTTTGAACACTCCCTCCCACCTCTGCCATAGATCAAACCTTCATCGGCTCTTGCGGAACTGGTGCTATCACCTCTTAAGGTCTCCCTTCCTTCAATTTCATGCCTGTCCTGACCTTCCTCCACAGTGCTGGCAGAGCTCACTTTCTAGAATAAAAATCCAACCATGTTACCTCCCCACGACTCACTTCCTTGAGTCCTCACTTCCTTATCATCCCACCCTTTTAGTCACAGACTCTCCTATTATTAATCTGATAAAAAAAAAGCTACAAACTTGGGCTTCCCTGGTGGTGCAGTGGTTAAGAATCCGCCTGCCAGTGCAGGGGACACGGGTTCGAGCCCTGGTCCAGGAAGATCCCACATGCCGCAGAGCAACTAAGCCTGTGCGCCACAACTACTGAGTCTGCACTCTAGAGCCCGCGAGCCACAACTACTGAAGCCCACGTCACACAACTACTGAAGCCCGCGTGCCTAGAGCCCGTGGTCTGCAACAAGAGAAGCCACCGCAATGAGAAGCCTGCACACCGCAACAAAGAGTAGCCTCCGCTTACCACAACTAGAGAAAGCCCGCACGCAGCAACGAAGACCAAACACAGCCAAAAGTAAATAAATAAAATAAACAAATTTATTTTTTAAAAAAAGCTACAGACTCATTGTAGTGGACAGAATAATGTCCTCCTAAAGAAGTCCACGTCTTAATCCTTGGAACCTGTGGATATGTTAGGTTACAAGGCACAGAGGAATTAAGGCTGCAGATGGAATTGAGGTTGCTTATCTGCTGACCTTGAGATGGGTAGACTATACCGAATTTCTGGGTGGGTCCAATGTCATCACAAGGGTCCTCATAAATGGAAGAGGGAGGCAAAAGGACAGGAGAGCCCCAGAGATGGCAGTGGAAAGGTTCAGCCTGACACTGGCTGGTTTTTCTCTTTTTTATTGGCTGCGTTGGGTCTTCGTTGCCGCGCACGGGCTTTCTCTAGTTGCAGAGAACGGGGGCTACTCTTCGTCGTGGTGCGTGGGCTTCTCATTGCGGTGGCTTCTCTTGTTGCGGAGCTCGGGCTCTAGGCGCGCGGCCTTCAGTAGTTGTGGCACGTGGGCTCAGGAGTTGCGGCTTGCAGGCTCAGGAGTCTGGCGCACGTGCTTATTTGCTCCGCAGCATGTGGGATCTTCCCGGACCAGGGCCCGAACCCGTGTCCCCTGCACTGGCAGGCGGATTCTTAACCACTGCGCCATCAGGGAAGTCCTGGTTGGTTTTGAATATACAGAGGACCATGAGCTAAGGAACTCAATCGCCCTCAGAAGCTAGAAAAGGCAAGGAAACAATCGTCTCCTAGGGCCCCCAGCAGGGATCACGGCCCTGCCATCTGGCCTTTAGTCTCTTGAGCCCATATCAGACTTCAGACTTACAGAACTGCAAGATAATAAATTAGTGCCATTTTAAGCCTCTAAGTTTGTGCCAATTTGTTACAGCAGCACCAGAAAACGATACACCTCTCGTGCAGAAAATGTGCTCACACCCAACTTTGCAAAAGTCCCCGCGTGATTAGAGCCCCTGAACTCTACCATGTCTAAGAACCCCTGGCATAGAGGCCCTCGGGGTTTGGAGCCTGTCTAGCTGACCGGTCTCCTCTCAACCGGTCAAGCTTTCAGCAGGTTGTCTGCTGGGGAGGCCTCTAGGCCCTCCAGCCAGAAGGCGAGCTACCACCCCCAACTCCTACTCAGCTTTCAGGGCTTTAGCTGCAGGAAGCTTTCCCATGCCCTCAAGTTCACCAGCCACTCCCTTCTGGTTCCTTGTCCAGGATTTTTGTATTTTTCAGGCTCTTTCTTCTTCCCTGCAAGTCGCCACCCGCCACGCGGCAACAAAAAAACTCACACACACCCTAGCACAGTCTGGTCCGAAGTCCCCACGCAGTAGCAGCAGTAGCTGCTGAATGGATGAGTGTTAGGGGTCAAGTGGTCCTCAATATACGAGAGGGAAAAAGGGAGTCTGGACCTGCGAGAGATCGGCGAGCCGAAGCAAGGAGTCGGGAGACCGCGGTGCTGCCGGGCCGCCACCGCCGTCACGTGATCCTGAAAGGCCTCCCCTCGCCTGGAATTCCTTCCACCTCTACTTCTCAAAGACGCTGCGCACACCAAGAGCGAACAGGAAAGTTCTTGGAGGGTCGGGGAGGGAGAATAGCGGTTTTATTCTTTTACTGCCAACAAGTTGGATTATAATTACGTAGACCAAAAGTTACCGACTCTACGCCAGAGAGGCCGGGTGGGGTTCCTCCGCCGCAGGGGCCCAACGCTGGGTGGGTAGCAGGCGGGCCTCACGTTCGTCGACCCCCACCCGAGAGCGCGGCTCCCGGCGCCGGCGCGCGCTTACCTACGAGCTTTATGACGCGGGACAGCTTCTTGTCGCCGTCCATCTCGGCGTGGAGCACGGCGTCCTCCTTGCAGCGGCAGCGGCACGTGGGGGAGCCCGGGGACTCCGCGCGCCCCTCGGCGGGACCGGCCCAACCCTCGGCGTCGAGGTCGCGCTCCGTCCGGGCTGCGGCCAGCGGCGTGCCACGGCCCCAGGTGCCTCCCGGAGACGGGGTCAGCCGCAGGAGCGGGTGCGCTGGGGAGACGTGATGGGAGAAGGCCGGCGATTCCGGCACCGGGACGGTGAGGAAGCGCGTGGAGGGCGCCGGCGAGGGCGCGCAGCTGCTGCCGGCCGCGCCCACGGACTTCACGCGCACGTCCACCTGCAGTTCCACGGGGGCCCAGGCGCCCCGAGCCGGCTCACCGGGCGCGGCCCTGAGCATCTGCTCGGCCCCCGGCGTCTCGCCGTCCCGGGGCTGCTCAGCCGCGGCTGGGCCCGGCGACGGCAGCTCCGGGCTGGCCGACTCCTGACGGCGGAAGGCGCTGTAGCCCGGGCTGGATGGCAGCAACCGCAGGGGCGCGGGTCGAGGCGAGGGCAGCTTCTTCCCGCCCGACAGGTCCTGGCCCGCGCCCGCCTCCTCCTTCACTGCGGGAGCCAGACTCGGGCTGCTCTCGGGACTCTCAGGGCGTCTTTCCTCCGCGGGGACCTGGGGCTGCTCCAGCTCCGGGACCCGGCTTCCCAAGGGCTCCATTGGGAACTCGGCTCCGTCTTGGTCTTCGCCCGACGCCGCCCGGGCTCCCTCCATTTTATACGCGGAGCAGCCGAGAGGTGCCGAGCGGGATGCCCCCGGGCCCAGGTAGGGAGTTAGCTTCGCCTCCCGGGTCGGGACTGGTTCCGACGAGTCGCTCTAAACCGTCAAGCCACGCCCCTCTCCGTCGCCACACCCACTTCCTCCTCCGAGCCAAGGACCTGGCTGGGATTGGCTGTGGCTCGGGTTCTGTTGGCCACGCCCCTTCAGGCCCCGAGCCTCGCCTTTACTTGGCGAAGGAGAAGAGAGGGGCAGAAGGGTCTGGCTGAGGGGTTACCCAGAAAGAGCCGGGTAAGGGGGAGCCCAGAGCGCAGACCCTTCTCTCTTCCTTGTCCCTGGCCCCACCCATTTCCCCCTCCAGCCCTCTGCCATTGTGCTGATTTTTGAGAGTTAGGGAAGGAGCGGCACACCTAGAGGACTCCCCCAAGGCAGAAGTCCCAGAGACATGTACTCTGGAGGCCTGACTCCTACTGGGCTAACTCAATAAAGACTGAGAAATGAATAAGCTTGAAAATGTGTATTTTCACGGCGGGAGAAGCCTGGTCCCCTGCCAGCCTGGTGTGGAGGACAGGGTTCCCAGTCCTGACCAGTAATCTGAATACCATGAAAAAAATACAGATTCCTGGCAGACTCCACCCAGACCTACTGAATCTCATAAGGGGATAAGGCCAATTTTTAACAAGTGCCCCAGGATAGGATTGGCAGATAAAATACAGACCATTCGGTTAAATCTGAATTTCAGATAAATAAATAAATAATAGTGTTTTTGTTTTTTGTATAAGAACGTCCCAAGTGCTCCGTGGGATATACTTATATTTAAAAAGTATTCGTTATCTGAAATTAAAATTTAACCTGCCTCCTATATTTTTATTTGCCAAATCAGGCAACTCTACCCCAGGGACTTCTGCTGGAGTGATCTTGGTAGCAGCATTTGGAAAGACCACAGACTCGCTACTCCTGAGAGACGGGAAGGAAGCAGGATGTGGAGGGGAAGGATCTTAGGAGGGGAGGTAAACTACTGCAAAGGATGCTCCCTGAAGACAAGCAACTGAGAGAAAAAGTCCAGCAGAAAGAAAGCACTATATGAAAACACTTTATGTTTAATCTCTACCAACCCCAGGCTATGTATTTAATGTGGGGATATATATATATATGCCTGAAAATGCATTTAAAAAGATGTGGAAAGATAGATACATACCAAAGTGATAATACTAGTGGATTTTGCTGTAGATTGTCTGGGCTGGGGCAGGGGGGAACGTCTAGGAGACTTAACCTTATCTGCAATGTTTCCACTTTCTAGAAACAGTTTCCACTGCAAAGTTTCCACTTTCTATATATTTATGTATATTCTTACATAAAAATTCAATTTTTAAAGAGATGGCATATAGTAAGTTATTTTTTTAGGGCTAATAAAGATTACTAAAAATATGAAAATAGTTCAAAAAGTATATAAAATATAAAGGAAAGGTCTCTTCTGTCCCTCTATTTCACCTCTCAGAGTCAGCCGCTGTCCCTGTTGAGATGGGCTGCTTGTTCATTTCCGGTGTGGACAGGAGCTGAGAGGGGAGCATCCTGACTGGCTTTCCTGCTTAAATATCTTCGCCTGGGATGACGATCATCACATATGTAGTTTATAAAATCAAAGACTTCTTATCTTCCACGTGTTTTGGCTCAGAGCGAGTCCGCGAGGAAAACATGATGTGCGTCACTGTGTCACGGTCCCTAAGAGGGAGACGCCAAGGCCTGGCTCCCCCGGCCACAGCCCACCACCTTGGGCTGGGCTCAGACTCAGAGGCACCCAGGGCCATCTAAATTCCATCTTGAATTTGAACTGTAGACCACAGTGCCTGTGGGAAGTTGGTGGCGCGCACTGGCGCTGAGGGGTCACAAGCGGGGAGACCGAGGGCAGCAAGAGAAGTGGGCTCCACATGCTTGTGATACAAAGTTTAAATATTACAGAAAGACACACTGTAGAAAGTGAAAGTGCCCAGGATTTCATGCCCCAGAGACATCTGTTATTAACATTTCAATATACAGTCTTCTGGATGTCTTTTCTATGCATACACTGACCTCGATTGCTATTATACGTACATATATTTTGTTTCCAAAACTCCACTCATATTAAATGCATACCTATACATGATTTATTTAAGCAGTCTCCTCCTGGTGGACATTTGGGTTGTTTCCTTCTGCGTGACATAGTTCCTGCAGTGCTGCAAATGCTACAATTATAATTCAGTGACCATCCTTCTACATTGTTTTAAAAAATCACTTCTTTGATGATATCTTCAGAATAGATTAATTAAAATGGAACCAAAGGGTGGTCACAATTTCAAATTTGATGGACAGGGCCCAAATGACCCAGATTACCCACAAGAGGCTGAGCAAATGAAGGATGAGAGAGGGTCGTCCACACAGCATCACCAGGACTTGATATTTCCATTCTCCTTAGTCTTTACTAATCTGATGGGTGAAATTTCAACTTGAATTTCTTGAGTTACGAATGAGGTTGGACATACCTTTCTTTTTTTTTTTTTTGGCTGCATTGGGTCTTCCTTGCAGTGCGCAGGCTTCTCCTGTTGTGGAGCACGGGCTCTAGGCACGTGGGCTTCACGAGTTGCAGCACGCGGGCTCAGTAGCTGTGGCATGTGGGCCCTAGAGCACGCAGGCTTCAGTAGTTGTGGTGCACAGGCTCAGTAGTTGTGGCTCACAGGCTCTAGAGCACAGGCTCAGTAGTTGTGGCACACGGGCTTAGTTGCTCCGCGGCATGAGGGATCTTCCCAGACCAGAGATCGAACCGGTGTCCCCTACACTGGCAAGCAGATTCTTAACCACTGCGCCACCAGGGAAGCCTCCTGAACATACTTTGTTAATTGTGTTACTGAGAAGTCTCTGCCAGTCTCAGGGCCTGTGAAGAGGGCCATGGAGATTCCCTCTAAGGCCCGTTCCAGATCACCGGTTGGTTCCAGGAAGTGGCTCAGCAGGCACCCTTGTCACGCCCTCCCGGAGTTCACTGCTCCAGGAGGCTGATGGTACCGGGGCCACCTGAGCAAACTGAGGAGTTGTAAGAGCATAAACTGAGCCATGGCTGGCTGCTCCTAGAGAGGAAGCAAACACGCCCAGCCCCGACTCTTGGCCGATGTCACCCCCTGTGGCATCCTGAGCTCTTCTAGGGTCCTTGGATGCACAGGTGGTGGCGGAGGGAGGTCTCTGCACCGCCAGCTCCCTGGCACGGTCCATCCTCAGCTCACATTCCACCTGCTCAGAGGCTCAGGGGCAGCCAAGCCAGTGTGGCCCTCCCACCCCCGGGTCCCTGGTCCCTCACCTGTGACTGTCTTCATAGCACTCGGCACTGTCTTCGGCCAACGTGTTCACATATTTGTTTCATTGTTTACTATTTGTCTCCGGCCCTCTGGCAGCCACTGCTGTAACCCCAGGACAGTACCTGGCAGGCCCATCCCCGGCTCTTGGCTGATGTCACCTTGGTGACATATTATGAATATTTATGAAATAAACATTGCCGAATGGGGCGCTGTGCAGGGTACTTGACATACCTTGTCTCATTTCTTCTTTTTCTCCCCCGATTTTTCTCTGACAAGTTTTAAACATTAAGAAAAATAGAAAGCACACACAGCGAACTCTTAAAGACCCTCCACCTGGACTCAACAGTCAGCATTTCATCATATTTGCTTTGTCTTTCTCTCCATGCTAATGTACTTTTTGTTGCCGAACCATTTGAATGTGCTTCAGACCTCGCGAAACTTGTGCCTTAAATACTTCAGCATGTATCGCCCACGAATATAGTATTCTGCAGAAGTCCATACCATCCTTACACCAAGAAATGAGCAAGTACTCCATGCTAGATGATATTACAGAGACCGTATTTAAATTCCCCCAATTTTTTTCAAACTAGGATCCAATCAAGTTTCACACAGTGCATTCGGCTGTTATGAGTAAATACTCTTCACAATAACTCGGTGAGGAAGACACTAAAATTCCTTCTTTACCGGAAACTGAGAGTGAGAGAGGTTGAGGTACTTGCCAGGGTCACAGAACTCCTAAGTGGAAGACTCACGATGCCGTCATGCATCTGCGACTGCCAAACACGTCTTTTCTCCCCGTTTCCTGCATCTTGTTCCCCTCGTCCTCTGGGCTCTTGGAGGTTTCTTTCCCAGTCTCTGGTCCATGCAAGTCATGGGCTGGGGCCAAGGAGCAGGAGTTGACCTAGTTACTCAGCAGCCGGGGCCTCGCTTTCAAGTTCCTCCAGCCACCTCCTTACCCCGATCTTATCCCTGTTGTTCTCTGGGACATTAGCTTTCTGCTGGGAGGGACAAGGCATCCTGTTTCTGCCTCAGTTATTTAGTGAAGGATCCGCTTGCAGCTAGAGGAGAGACAAACGTGAATCCAGTGGAGGAACAAACGGTGGCCTTCAGTCAGGTGAGCAGGTAAAGGTAAGGCTGCAACGGGGGTGAGAAAATATTCCACCTGGACGCATGCAAGCTCATCCAAGGAGACTTGGAAGCCGTAACAGGACAGGAAAACAGCTCCCTGAGCCACCGTCCGCTTGCTCCCGGCATGTCAAAACAAAGATCCTCCCTTGCTGGGAGCGCCATCCCGGAATCTGCTACAACGCAGTGCACTGGGGCTTGTGAATTACTGACCTGTGTGAATAGACGGCCCTGATGAATAGACAGTAACACTGTCTATTGAGGCACACCCAGCTGATCTCTCTGGGTCTGGGGCTCAACACCCGGAAAGACCTGGATGGGAGCAGTGCAGGGAACAGGAGACAGGGGCAGAAAGAGATGAGGGGGGACAAAGGGACATGAGTGCAGAAGCAGCACCCCCCAGCACCCCCCAGCACCCACCGCCTCACACCGCTGCTACGCAAAAGACTTCATCAGGCTGCGTGGGACCCCTAGAGCCACAGTCTGAGAGCAGCAAAAGGAGAAGACAGCAGCGCCCAGAAGCACCTCGGTGAGCGGCATCCAGATGTGGAGGACCCCCCCCCACAC